GGCGCGCACGCAGGGAGGCATTGGCGTGCGCGGGGGGTGGGGGGCGGGAGGGGGCACGGGCGTGTGCGCGGCGGAGCATTTTTTAAAAATTATAAAAAAAAAATTAATTTCGGTTTTTTGCGACGACTTTTTTAGACTTGTCATCGCTAAAAAATAAGAGTATTTGCGACGACAATTTGAAATTTCATCGCAAAAAATGATCATATGACGAGAATTTTGCAACGACGTATTAGCGACGTCTGTCGTCGCAAATACAGAGTGTCGTCACAAATACATTTACAACGACACTATGTCATCGCAAAAAACGTTTTTACGACCAATTTTTTGCGCCGACAAATTTGCGACGACTTGTCGTCGCAAAAAACTTTATTTGCGACAACATTCGGGTTTTTGCGATGACTTTTTGTCGTCGTAAAAACTTCTTTTTCTTGTAGTGATATAAAATAGTGGCACTTATAACTTTAATGAGTAATTTGCATGATTGGTTCATAAACTCTTTAATACGTGATATTTTGTTCCTATTCTTTTTATCTTGATGAAACAATCCCCAAACTCACAAAACATCATCAATTAAGCTCTTTTTATTAAAATCTGTCAAATTTTTAACATATTCTTGCACAGGATAGTAAACAATAAGGGAATGAAGTCACATGAGAGTGAAATATACGTGAATGCATAAGAATAAGTGGCAAGGTTGATGTTAGATTAATTTACATTGTTAGAGTTCCCTTAATAAGCTAGCTATGGGATCAGGAAATACTTGTAGCCATACTCTTCACCTACGCAATAACCACAACTTTTCTCAGATAACATAATTCAAACCCAATTAAAAAAGAAAAGAGAAAAAAAAAATTCTTTACAAGGGGTTTGTACCCACAGTCATAATGCTGACACTTGCAAATCAAGTTCTTAAGAAGAAACACTATATGTCTCGTTCATTTCACCGATTCGAGTTTTGTTACAGTCAAAAGCTCTCAGAAACAAATACATCTAACTTTTTTGTTACAATAAAAAGCTCTCACATATAAAGTCACATCTTAGCTCGAATTAAAAACTCAAATCAGCGAACTAAACGGGTCCTATAACATGCAAGGCTTTCCACCACGCTAAAATTAGTACGAGTCCTCGAATAGAAAGATTCGAGGATCGCGGCCTATTTCCATTTTTAAGTCCATGCCCCGCCGGCATCGAAAATATGCAACATGCCTTTGTGACCTCTCCCTTGTGCATTTTCAACCTTTTTGTCCCATGATTGATGACATGTTTTTGGGAGTACAATAATGATGCTCTAACTTGAGTTTTGAAGCCCTTTGAAACTGCATGGAGTGTTTATGTCACGTGACACTTCGGATCCAAAATGCCAAGCAGGATTTGGTGACAAAAGAACAATACAAGGTGTTAGGAATTTTGTTCCGAAATTCAATTTCAGTTGATTGGGCCCATGATTGGCCCACTCGCTTGTATCATTTAGAACATATTGGGCCACAGGCCTTGTAGGATGCTGCAATAATTTGGGGAAAAATTATGCTTCCTCATTTGACGCGATTCTTGTGGGTTGTCCTTGAAGACAATGAAGTTCCCAAAAATGGAAGTCATGGAATCATATGTTCATTCCTATTGGTAGATTAATTTCATCTTAGTAAAAATAAATAAATAAATAAAGCTCAAGCCTCAATTAGAAGGAGGGTCAGATCTGAGAGTCTTGAAGAAGTAAATTAGGAGGGGTAAATTTCCTAATTTTCTCTAAGTTAATTCATTTATGTCCTAATGACTCTAGTAGGTAAAAGGGCCAGGACAATATAGTTCGTGTAGTTGATCACATTAGGTGTTTGAAATTGGAAATGTATTATGCCAATCTGCTCCGTTTATTTTACCGATTCGAGTTTAGAATTTGAATTTTACTACAATAAAAAGCTCTTAAAAACAGTCACATCTAACTTGCTACAGTAAAAAATTATCATATAAAGTCACATTTAAACTTAAATTAAAAACTCGAATCAACGAACTAAACGGATCCATAGACTACATATATAGTAGGATCTGTTGAGTAGTGGAGCTTAATTATAACCCTGGCAATTATTATCATACATAGAAGAATCCACAAATCGACCTTGTAAACTTCTTCTTGTAAACTTTAGAGCTTAATAATTGTCATGAAAGTTAGAGACGTTAGTGAAAAACACAAAGAGTGGTGTAGGCGGCAGCTGTTTTCTCTAGCTTAGACCAGATGGAGATGGTCCTTAGAACCAAACCCTAGAAAAAAGGAGTAAACCCAAATAAAGAGGCAACAATTGTTTGGATAATTTAAGATAACTTCATTAATTTTTTAATTCTCTGACAAACCAACTATTTATAGCTGAGGGCTACATCAGAAATAAAGACATGGCATCATTTAATTAAAACCCCTTTATGACCAGCATGACTCCAAACAAACGACAAGAGCCACAAAGGCTTAAACGACAACTGGCGCCCCTGCATCAAAGAGTTAGGAGGTGTGCGAAAGATGACGTAGTCTCACATTGAGACAAACCACTATAAGTTTTACATGCTCGTTTTACGTTTGATTTCTTATTTGTAATTTAATTGCTCTCGGTAATATAAAATCAAGACAGCTAATTCTTAACAGAATCTTCTAGTTTGGTTGAAGCTTTACGATTTGAGACATGAATACATCCAAAACTCTTATAAGAAATGTTATCAGCAAATTTAAGTTAAGAGTCCCCTAAAATTCTTAAGATAGTATTATGTCCATGAATAATACTTTTGATGCTCTAGAAATTTTAAATGATGATATATATGTCGTAGTAAGGCTGATAACAATGGGGAAATTATTGATTACAATAATCTTGTTGTTGATTTACAGGTTGAATTTAATGATAATCCTTCTAGCAAGGACTAACGATTCTTGTAAATGATAAAAAAGTAAATGATTCAACTCCGACTTCAATGCCTAGCTTGATTTGTGATCTCACAATCAGATCTCAGATGATCAATGGAACTCCCTGTCCAAACTCATCACTCTCAATCTTTTCTAAAATAAAGCTTCAATATAATATACTTCCAGTCAAATACGTGTGATTCTTATAATATATATATATATATATATATCAGCAACAAAAGACATCATATCATGAAAACGAAAAACCTCCATGCATGCATGCGTAAAACAAAATGACGACTCAGTCCACATCTTGTGGCTGCAACTGTTTCCGAATCAAATTAGGCGAAAAAGCAGGCAATAAGCCGGAGAACGCCGCCTGATCCGCAGCTAGGAAAGGCGTTGACTGAGTCATCAGACTCGTCGGCGAATACAAATTATCGAAATTAAGAACGTGGCTAATTTGTTGTTGTTCTTGATCATTCACCTCCAGTTGTGCATTATGGTGTTGTTGAACCCTAATTTGTTGATGATGATGATGATGATGATGATAATCCGTTGCTCGCTGTTGCTTCGGAACGTTATTGAGCTTCTCTCCCTCGATCTCTCGGTACTTTTCGAGGTAAACTTTAAGAGGGTTCACGTAATGCTCGAAACCTAGGGCTGTGATGGCCCAAATGATGTCATCTCCATTGATGGTCTTCCTCTTTTCTCTCTGGCATTTATCGGAGGCTTCGCCAGTGACGAAGCTGATAAACTCAGAGACGCATTCTTGGACGCTTTCTTTGGCGTCTTTGGAGATTTTCCCGTTGCCAGGGATCATCTTTTTCATGATCCGACCAACGTTTGCGATGGGAAGAAACCTGTCTTGTTCTTTGTTCGTCTTTAGAGATAGTGGGCTTCTGCTTTCCATTGAGTGATCGTAATCTCTTAATGTTGGTGGTAAAATAATATTTGAGAGAAAATGGCGAGTGATATGAGTGGTGAAATTGGGATTTGAGAAATATATATATTAACAGGTTTTGAATGGATATGGAAAGATAATGCAAGAAAATAGGCAAGTGAAGAGGGAAAATGAAAAGGAAACCAAAGGCTGAAATTGATTTTCGATAATGAAGGATCCCTTGGACTCGCTCCATCTGTTGAGAAGGTAAATTTTGTCAGATAAGTAGATTTTTCCAATGGAAATAGAGTTTTTTTTTATTATATTAATCGGGGAAAAATACTATGATAAATAAATTGATAAGAAAGAATTATATTTATAGCTCTACAAAGAAAAGAATAAAATACTATTCTTAATGTTAAATCTTATTTATAAAGGAATAAATAAATTATAATATAAATCTAAACAACTCTAATAAGTCTAAATGAGCATGTGGTAAGAAATTAATTTTATATATTATTGCTTGTATGTTTAAAAATCTTTGTTTTTAGCTTAATTTTATTTTTAGTCTCCAGATTTAACCCTCACATATTTCGTTAGACAACGAACTCGTGTAGAGGGAACATAACTTTTCCTTTCTTTTTTATAATTTATTTGGGTGTAATTTGTTTAAAATTCATGAGTGTCACACGGTTGATTCTGACAAATCTCAATGATTTTTGCAACTAAAGGGCATGTAGAACAATGAGTCGAGAATCAAAATGAAATAAAGAAAATTGCCTAGGGTAAATATAAAATTAACCCCTGATATTTTTACAAAACTTTGAAAAGGTGGGGAATGGCAAAAACATATTCGGGATTTAGGAAAATAATTAACGTTCAATATAGGTCTTGTGACGTATATATCTAAAAGTTTCTTATATACAAGACGTAAGCCTTGTGTTTAAATAATGAAATATTTGACAGATACACCCTTAATTGCTTTTCATGTAATTCAATGGTTAAGGGGTCAATTGTGTATCTAATGACGTGCAATGCATTAATTAAGTCATAAGTTGAAGCGCATCAAGTTATTATTTAAGTCATATATATAGTTCTTCCATCTTGTATACAAACGCGCCAAATCATGAAGATAAAGCACACATTACAATATGTAATGACCATCGTCTTGATTCTACTTTTCATCTTCTTAATTCAACAATCAGGTCAGTTTTATGAGTAAATTCTAAACACAACGAAATATCGATCAAAATTTTCACCTTTTTTTTTTTACACCTTTAAGTATTTGAGAGGGTCATTTCGTAAACAAAAATTTTGATTAGGACATATATAAGAAGAAATTATTTCAATGAGACAATTAGAGGGGAAAAAAATATTTATGGGGTCACATTTGAGAAAGGAAAAAAAAATGAATGTATTGTAGAGGGAAAAAAAGGGGGGGAAGAAAGAACTGAGGGAAAAAGAAAAGAAAAAAAGAGGAAAAGAAAGCAAAAGAAAACTAGACATATTTTCATTGAAGTTTTTACGTATTTTATGTACTATGTTAATTTTTTGTCAGTGTTTTTGCCATTGCTTTGAACGATCTTTACTCACTATATAAAACTAGACATATATCTTAGCAAACGAAAAAAGAAACTATGCGCTCAGAGAAATAACTAGTAAACTTTGTTTATCGATTTTTGTTTTATATATGTCATATGGTGAGTTCAAAATAAATTATTTACACAAGTCTTCTAACTTTTTTGCTTGGTCAAAATTTGCCCAAGTTTAAGGCCTCAACAGTACTACCTACTACGCTCCACATCGCATAATATAGATGTGATTATGTATTTAATTTTTTAAACGTTGTTCAAGTAATCCATGTAATCTAATTCATATATTTTGGTGAAAAAACCTAAGAAAATGTTCAAAAGAAAACCTAAGTTTGGAAAGGAATTTTTTTTTTTTTTTTTTTTTTTTTTATAGATGTAAGACTTAAGTTTTTTTATATAAAATAAAATAAAGCAATTATTTACCCTAAAAAATATTTAAACAATTATTTAACGGCACTTAATTGCCTTTTCATCTGATTCAGTGGTTAAAGGGTCAACTGTTGACGTGGAAGATCTTCTAAACTTCAAATCATATTGCCTAGCAATTAAGGAGACGTTTGTTTCTTATATTCGTCCATGATTCTGAATCATAATTCATGGTTCTCTACAGTATTTTCTCTCATAAAAATACACGTAAAATGAGAATGATTCTAAATCATGATTCTGAATACATAAATCAAACGTCCTCTAAGTTGAAGCAATTAATTATTTTCAATATGTATTGATATTTCCATCTTGTAATATACAAACCATGGATAGAAATCACACGTCCCTTTCTTTACTTATGTTCGTCTTGATTTTCATTGTCCTCTTTCAACAATCAGGTCAGTTTTAAGTATAAATTTTAAATTTTATTCATAGAGATCATTTATTGTACTTCAAAAAACACACAGATAAATACATATATATTTGTTCTAGTTATGGACATACCATTTTCCGAATTTCCATCGAAATTTCTATAATTATAAGGTTCCAAAATATTTGTTAGTGTAAAAGAATTTCTCTCATGCTAACCAAAATTTACCAAAATTTTTAGATATTTGGACCTTTAAAATTCTGAAAATTACTCTAAATGTAATGTTATTTTAATTTAGTATTAAATTTGACATATGCGATACTTAATAGTAAATTTATCACTAAATACAAAATAAACATACGTTAAATTTTAGCATTTGATATGATCAAGATGTCTACTTTTTCATTTATGATTACAACATTTTGGTATTTGATTATAATTTTTAAGTTATTAAAACTTTATCATTATGATAAAATAAAATTTAACATTTAACATAACATTATATTCCTTTTCCTCATTTGCATTTTTTCATTGAAAATATATACCATTGACACATTTCTGGATGAGGATTTACACATGCAAAGCTTACTAAGCTGTAGCACAATGTGGAATATTATCAAAAAGTGATAGCTAAAATATTTGCATCACTAATGTCGTCATTCTAATATTTTTTTTCTTTTTTATAGAACATCTTAGAATTTATTCCACTAAAGTAAATGTCATCTCCTCTTAAAGAAAATTACAATTTTATCCTCCAATTTTCTTCTCGCTATGGATGGGCAGAATGCCGGAGCACACAGTCTGAAAAATAAATATTGCATGGAGAGATGCAAGGAAACTTATCCATCATCGTACGGGGGATTTTGTTCAACAAAAAATACAATGGGTTGGGACCAATGTTTTTTGCTGCACCATTAATCAAGAAAAATAGAGTGGTACATTTTATAGAAAATGACACATTTTCTAAACTTTAATATAGATTCGCATTGTGAACTATGTACCTATGTGGTCATTCACACGTCGAATTTGATCCTTTTAGCTATTATCGACTTTACAAATCATTGCTTTAAATTTTATTCAGCAGAAAAAAAAAAAAAAAAAAAAAGGAATCCAGAGCCGGTTAACAAAAAAAATGGAATTCAGGAAGTTCTATGAATAAGATAATGATGATAAAGAAAGGATTGAAGACAATTCTAAATCAATCAAATTTAGACCTTTTTGTTTACATATTTTAAAAAAATATATATTTTAATATCCTGTGTTATATCAAAATATGAATTTAACACATTTTATTTTTAATAATTTTATATCAGTATCTTGACATTTTAGAAAATATTCTTTTAATACTTCGGGACACTTTTTTGAGACATAAAGAGACAAAATTATTCTTATTATTAAATATGTATAAAAACTTTAAAAAAAAATCATAAAGCTGCAACCAATGCCTAAAATTCACTCCGTCCCAAACATAAAGTAAAAGCCTTAGTTGTAGGTTTAAGTATTAGTAAGATTTGCATCACCAAAGATCTCATCGAATTCTCCGGTAGTTCCATTAACCATTATTGAAAATGCTGTAGACAAATTACAAAACGAAGACGAAACGGTACTGAAAACTAGAATAATAATGATAATAATGAAAATTGAGCCAATTCAGGACCTCATTTGCTTTTTCTTTACTAATCAAAAGTTTCATAGCGCACATCAATGGACTTTACATTTGCATGAACGAATTCATTCTTGTCCATAAAACGTAATGAAATGATATTACAGTGTAAATCCCGACACTCACACTCGTGATGACATCAAAATTATAATATCGGAAACAATAAATTAATAGTGGACGCCGAAGAATGAAAAAGACCTAACTACAGGGTACATAGGCCAAGATAAAGTACAGTTACCATGATTTGAAAATTAGCTAACCGGAAACAAAAGAATAACCTAACCTCATTGGGGGGCATTGCATCGTCAAGAATGAAGAGGCACTTCCTAGGACATGATCGCATACTTGAGTGTCTCAGATTCGTTGGGCCGCCACATGGATTTCTGAACACACAGCAAACCTTCATTCTCCTTGGAGTAAGTCATGCGAACCTCCCACTGCATCGACTTCACCATGTTCTCCAGCTCGTTAATGATCTCAACACTGTCACGCACGATCAGCTTTCCTTCTGGCCTCAGGAGACGATCAACCTCCGCAACTACAGCCACCAAATTGCACCTGTACTCACAAACCAGTGCAAAGTTGGTCAATCGCGTAAAGACACAGATCCTAAGGCATACCGACAACAACAAAAGAAAGTTACTTTTCGTTGGGAATGAGAAATCAGAAAAATTGCTCACCTCGTTTTGAGCTTAGAGAATAGATGATCGGCATGAAGAAGATCGTAAGTCCTCGGGTAGGTGCTATATGACTCACACCAATCATGATACATGCCAAATAGACCTCGCTCATAGATTATAGGTAGCGTATCTGGGGAGTCTACTGAGACCACGTTCATAACCCACACGTTCAAGTCCTTCAAAGCAGCAGCAAATCTGGTGGCAAACAGATGTTAGAACTGAAGAAGAAAATGGAGAAAGGATTAAAAAATAATCCAAAAAAAAAAAAAGAGAGAAAACAAAGGAAAACCCTATATTTCTGAAGCTTAGCCATAAAAAAGTAAAAAATTACAATAAGCAACTGTTAGACGACCACATGAAATCCACACAAGATAATACTGCGTCCAAATCAGCCATTTTACTTACCCTCCATAGACAGATCTCATGTCCATAACATTCCTAACAGATGACCAATTAATTCCCATTCCACTTAGATATGACTTGCTCACAACGCGTTTCCAGTGCTGATAGTCTGCATCGAAATCCTCAGGAGCAGGTTTCCCATAGACTCCGACCTGGGAGCTTGATAACCAGTAAGGTGTTTTGTCCAACCTTGAAGGCCATTGCTCAGGCCATTGAGACCCACGTTCTGATGCATCAACAGGTATTTTGTGCATGCAAGCTTCTAGTGGCACATTCCTATACAAGACAAACGAATACAGTGGTTAGGAATAGAAACCGAGATAAAAAAAACCATTAACACATATCTTTTTTTCTCCCAAAGAAAAAAACTGGACTATAAGCTACTATTCTGATGCAAAACCAAGATCATAAGAAAAAATCATGAACATATATGTCAACTTAATACCACTTTCAATTATTCAAATCATGTCCTGTTCTTCAAAAGGTATAGAGTTTCTCTTCATTTTGCACGAGTAAACTCATAAGACACCATTTTCTTAATTCAAATAAATAAAGTTCTCTGGCAATCCCTAGAAAGAAATAGTCAAAACAGGTAATATATCTTCAGCCAAACATTAATAATACCAGGCTGCATTTGGATCATCAGTGGTTGCGCAAAGAGGAGGCTCATTTTTCGATCTTTGCTCATAGCCTTCATTGGTAGTAGGCTTCTTATATACAGCAACACCCACGCCATTTACTGTATCTTTGCTAATTGCAACAACCTCCCAGCACAATGCTTTTGTTAGTTTCTTCATGGCTGCAGACAGTTTTACACGCAATATTCAAAAAATATTAGAAGCTTTACGCCAACTAAACTTCAATCTCTAGAAAAAGTATAGATTTCTAACTCGTGTACCTTCCCATATTGCCATATCTTCAGGCAGCTTTTGGTAAATTGGGGTCGCAGACCACACAAAGAAGCCACCAGGTCGCAAGAGACGATTCAGTTCCAAAAGAAGCTTACCACCTGCATATTACATTTTGCGGTGAACTCTTAAATCTCCAGAGTGAACAAAAACTTAACACCAGACCAAGCACTACTCTGTCAAAAGAAGTTGGCACAGAGCATAACATTTCAAAATGGAGAGACATTTAACTTTTTTCGGAAAATACTAGGCGAAAAATGAATCTCAAGCTTGGATAAGCTCAAACTCCTTTGGTCACCAGGTCTAAAATTAAAGTCATAGAATACCTTCTATATGCCATGGAACCCTGCAACGAGCACAGTGTACAATATCAAAAACTCTGCCTGGGAAGGGGAGCCTCTTTGTGCCCATTACAGCAGATATGGCAGGAATTCCCCTTTCTAGTGCAAATTGCACTTGAGCTTCGTGTTCATCTTTTGGCGCAAGTGACATGGTAAGAACATCTCTGTCAAAGAGGAAGCCGCCAAAACTCGCAACACCACATCCAACATCCAATACCACGCGGGAACGCTTCCCCCAGGCAATATCAGGCACGATCTGCATATACAGAGAACCCGTACTAAAGCTAATTGTTGGACAATGCTAAAAGCACATCACGTTTTTGTCTACAGGTAAATGCATGTTAGACATAGGAAAGATCACTTCACGAGATGATCAAAGAAAACCATTCATAAATATAACATTAAATTGTTGCCTTAGCAAAGAACCAAATATAATTCGCAAGTGTAATTTACTAAGTTTATTTCCAGTTTATTGTGTTTGGTTTAATTAGGCGTATACAAAAATTTTTCAGACAATTAAACAAATGTGAAAAAAAGCACAAGAAAAAAGACCAAATTATTAAAGGCATTTACCTCCTGTATGAAATCAATGTAATGAAGAGCACCGTGCTTAAATTGCGTTCCACCACCAGGAAAAGTAAGGTAGTCACCAGTAACTTTCACCCAATTCTGATGCCCTTTAATTTGTGCAAGCTTGGTGTGGGGAACATTAGCGTACCATATCTGCAACAATGCACCTCATTAGTCTATCTTAATAAAGAAAGTCAAAACATGATCCAGCAAATAAACGTAGATGGTCAATTGTTTAAAAAGATTCCTCAATGAAATCTCAAAAAGAGAAAATATAGAAATAGGCTAGCAAAACAATTCGGAATACCTTTTCCCTGCTCTTAGGCCACTGAATTGAGCGTTTATATCCTTCCGGAAGAGGTACAAGGCATGTAGGGGCCTCTTCAGGACAATGCCTTTCCCGATGTTCATAATGCTTGGTACTATGAAGAGTCCTAATTGCCTGCCAATTGTCAAGGCATGGGATGAAATCAGGCCCAGCAGTTGAATTACACAGCTTCCAACTGTAAGTGGTTTGCTGGTTTGAAGAACGTTGAGCTTCCTTTTCATTCTTTGACTCAGCAGCCTGAGTTTTCCAAGCACTATTTTGAGTAGCAGTTTCATTCAAAAGTTCAGACTGAGCTCCGGATGGATACACCTCACTTTTAGCCTGATCATTTTCCTTTTTCTCACCAGATCCATCGTCAGACTCCTTGTCATTTTGCTCAACTTTCTCCTCTATCTTTTCTTTATCTTGTGTTTCCTCTGTTTTCTCTGATTTCTGTTCATTGTCATCCGTATCAGATTTCGTCTGGCTCTCATCCGAATCAGACTTATTCTCATTATTATCTCCACCTTCCGTGCTTGTCTCCCCATTTTCTGTCTCAGACTTCAATCCATCATCGGCCTTCTCTTCACGTTTCTCCTCAGGCTTCTCTTCCTGATTCTCCTGGGGTTTCTCCTCTGAGTTCTCTTCAGATTTTTCCTCTTGCTTCTCCTCCTGATTATTAATGTTAACATTGCTGTCTCCCTTGGTCGCATCCTCAGGTAAATCACCCGGATTATCTTCAAACTGCCGAGTGTTCCCCTCATTGCTCTCATTGCTCTCATTGCCCGCATTGCTCTCATTGTTCACGTTGTTCTCATTGTTCTCGCTCACTTGCTCGCTAACCTCAGTCTTACTCTCTTGCGCCTTGACCTCGCTCTTATTCTCCGGCGAAACATCCACGTTTTGAACTGGAACCACCGACGAGGACGTCATCATCCAAACCCCGACTAGACATAGCGCCACAAACACCACGATCGTCACCGTCGAGCAATAACTCGACGACGACCTCCTGTTGTCTACTCTAGTGTATTTTCCTAACGCCATAACTCTCTTTTTTCAGCTGAACAGTTATTCTCAATACCTAACAAACAAAAAAACAAAACACACCTCAAAATCGAAGCAAAGCAATACAAAAACAATCAAATCCAATCCAATCCACCACATTCCAATCCTTATCCAACAGATCCAACAAAAATTCTCACAGATCTACAAATCAAGCAATTAAAAACAAAATCATAACGCCATAACAACAATAAATCAGGGTCATCAAAGGCTTAAAAACTCGGGAAAAAATCACCAAAAAAAAAAAAAAAAAACTTTTTCAATGACCGATTACAGAATAAAAGTCATCAGTTCATAGCATTTCAACAAGATTAGGAAACGAAAAAGCGAAGAACATCAGGCAAATACAATAGATCTGATCCGAAACAAAAATCCATGGATCTAATAAGCTGAAGAATGCGATTTTTTTACCTATTTCTTCAGATATGGAAAAAATGAGGCAGATCTGAGAAAAACAGCTACGAGCCAGTCCTCCACATTATGTGTAGGAGAGAGAAAGGGAGAGACGATTTTGAGTTTGCTTGTGAGAGAAACTGGGAAGGAAATGGTGGAGATTTATCGGCACTTTTAGAGAGAGAAAATAGAAGAGAGAGAATTTTCTCGGTTGCTTGATGTACAATTTTTAATGATTTATTTATTTTTCAACACAGTCTGAATTTTAAGTGTTGAATTTTTTTATTTTTTTATTTTATTGATGAATTTGCATTGCAAATTGCAATATTATATTCACGGAAAATTATTGATGGAAATTGGAATTCACTAGAGCGAGAATAGGACATAAATGCGAGCTTTCAGAAGAAAAAAGGGAAACAAGCAAACAAACGATCAAAAATAGAAAGAGAAAAAGAATTGACACGTGACGACAACCGTGAATCGAGTCAGAAAACTATTTTCTGCCAAATCCGCGTAACGTAGGGGTAATTTTGTAAATAACTCCACGGGTATAAAAAAATAATACTTTAATGTAAAGCTTTTTTAAACAATTTGTATCATATTTTTTTAGTTTTTTAGTTTTTTTTTTTTTTTAATTTGCATACGGTTTGACCATATTTAATGTTCAAAAATATATAGTATATTAATTATCTATTTCTTTGACCATCTTTTATGCATCAAACCTATCTATACATATGCCCAGATATTTAATACTTAAGATTAGAATATATATATATATATATATATTTGATAAGACATGAGAAAGTATTTATTGATATTATACTCTTAAAATGTCAGATCTTTATTAATGTTAATTTTATTTTGTGTTTAATTAGTATATTCGTGTCATTATTTAAATCATGATTTATGATTCGTTACACACATAAATTAAAAATAGTTCTGAATCATAATTCTAAATTCATGAACCACCATTTAGATATTTTTATTGTTTGATTAAATTTGAATTTCTTTTATGTGTTTGAGATATGATTTGACCTTTACAATTACACGATATTGATAGAGTAGTTTATAGTACTCTACAACAAAACCTCTGTAAAGTCAAATATTTACCACCAATAATCTTTTGTAATTTGTACCATAATCTTCCCTAAAGTTGAGCTATAGGAACTATTGTCGTTTGTAATTGACATTTTTTGAATTATGGGTGGCAAATTGGTAAAATCACCATAAAAAAAATAATGAAATTGTGGATCTTACTCAACATAGTGCTATTAAGCCAACAAGTGTAATCATCATAAATGTGGTAGGTGCTTTTGCATCAAATGTCATAAAATTAAGGTGTTTGGTATCTAATCACTTTCATTTATACTCATGTGAAAATAAAAGATAGAGAAAGTAGTCCAAATGCATTATCTTTTAAGTGCAACATTACCTATTTATTCACAGAGTATCTTTTAAGTTTTGACTTTTGACCTATCCTTGTTTAGTGAATAGCTACTATTTACTTCATGTTTGTTTAGGATCTATTGCCAATTACTTATTACTCCATGTTATTTAGTATACAGTCATTTAATGAAAAAACAAAACAACCTGATAAAATATTCATTTGATTTATTTTTTTATTCACATTTGAAATTTATTTTATTTTGTATATATAGTTTTCACTAAATATCCTTCCAGACAAAACTATTCACTATATAGTTTAGTGTTGGACGTAAAATAAATGAGAAAGTGCTTGGAACCTAGAATATTTTCTCCTTTTTTTATTTTATTTTACGAAATCAACTTTTTTTTTGTTTTGTTTATTTGAAAAAAGGTTGTATTATTCCTTAAAAAATAAAAAATAAAAGGCAAGTGTTAAAATTTCTTTTTTTTTCTCTTTCTTTTTTTTTTTGTTGGCAACATTAACTATTTCATTTAGAAATAGAAATACACAATCCTCCTTTTTCTTTGCCTATTCTATTGAAAGTAAGAAAAAGAAAACCAAGCTTCTAGATGTGATTTCTACAATTGAAACTTTTTTTTTTTTTTTTTGAGGGAACCATTGAGACCTTTAGGTCAAATGTAAAATACTAATCTTAAAGCAAAAATGAATAATAAATAATAACACTGCTTTATCAAAGAATATTAATTTCTCAGCGGGCTTTTATCATAATTTTTTATAGAAAAAAGGACGATGTAGAAAAGATTGGGCACCAAAATTTTGACCGTAACAGATAATTCCTAGCATGTAATATTAGATTAAAGGATGTTTCTTTTTTCGAATTTGTCTGAAGACTTAACTGTCTTTTTAAGGATCTTGGCTTTTAAGTGAATGTCGGTGATGGAATTAACGAATTTATTTTTCTTGTGCAGGCGACGCCGACCACTGGACGCGTCATGTGCCGGATCCAAAAGCAACACCGACTAACCACAATCCTTTTATTTAATTTTATTTATATATTACTAATCAAAAAAATCAATTTAACCTTTAATTTTAATATTATTTTCACCTTATTCCTTCAATTTTAAAAACTCATACTTTATTTTTAAATTTTAAATTAATTTCACTTACTTCTTTTTATTAAAATTTTTATTAAAAAATACGGATAAATAAAGAAATTAATTTCTCTTAGTCTCTTTTGACAATAATTTATATTGAAAATAAATAGAAAAAAATACATAACCGCATTTATTTTTTTTTGATCTATTTTTCATTTAAAAGAAATTAAGTGAGACTAATTTAATATATAAAAATATTTAAAAATTTAAGGAATAAAATTGAGGGAGTGCAGATGAATATAATCTTAAAAAATTAATTAAAAATAATATAATTTCTTTTTTTATGAATAATTGATGGTCTTGTCTGACATTTTAATGATAAGAGAAAAGTAGTAGTAAATTCAGTGAACAGTGAGAGATGACCGACAACCTAAAAATTCAAGTGGGAGGTGGGGTCCACATTATGTGCGAGATATGCGCTTCTCAGTGGGCGGAGAACGCTATCATCACCCGGTTGCATGGCGATCGGTCACTTCTGATTGGTCCTTTTCTCAAAACAAAAAAAAAAAGGAAAAAAAACGCAAACGTGCCGGTCACTGCATGATGGCATCCAGATCCCCGTGAGGCTGGGAAGATGGTGACGGGGATGATAGGCCTACGGCCTACGTCAAATTTTCTAGCCAAATAATTATTTTTAGTTTTCTTTTTACTAAAAACAAAGCTGCGAGAAATTATTCCCTACTACCATGACTATTTCAATGATCGTGTACTATCCATCACGACCATCTAATGATTCTGAGGTTGATTTGATCATGGGCTATTCATGAGGTCAGAGCCCATGATTTATGAAGTGTTGTAAACACGACGGTAAAAAAAAAAAAAAAAAAAAAATTTAATTAAAAAAATTCTTTTTTTTTTTTCTTAGTTGGGAACGCGTAAACGTATCCAACATCAAACTAATCTTTCATTTTTTTTTTTAAAAGTTACTTTTTTAAGCAAAGTACTAATTGATTTTATGGTCATCCTCGTATATAAACATTGATACTAAAGAATCTTTATTAGATTATAAGCTCTCCCACCTGATGGCTAATATGTTAATCGTATGTCTTTTCATTTATTAAAAGAAAAACCAACTTCTGGTAATATTTTTTTTGTATCAAAACCAACTTAATCATATATCTACGATATTATGCTATTTATGCATAAAAAATTGACTGCTTCAATACAAATCCTTTATTAGGTTAGGAGAAAAATTACAAAAATTTTAAGATAAAAACACTACGTGGGTTCACCATTAATAAACGACTTGATGGACAATACTGCGTGGTAATGTATATTTATGTGATGTTTGGTAGAATAATTCGTTTCCTGATTCGAATCATGATTCGTGATTTGCTACAGTATTTTTTCTCATAAAAAATACACGTAAATAAAAAATGATTTTAATCACAATTAGAATAAACAATATTTCACATTTAGTAAACTATGTCCATACGATTGATTGTTAGATAGGTATGGTTCAAGTATTGGGCAGTGGGCCAGCGGTTGTGGTGACGCGATGACAAAGATGATTAGTGATTTTTAGTTCATGTGTTTAAAATTATAGTTCATAATTTTAATTTTTAAAATTTAAATTTTTTATGAAAAAAAATATTGTAGCGAACTTAGAATTATGATTCTAAATCAGACTAAAACCCTCAAAACAAACGGATCATAATTTCTTTTATTCACAGTTTTAATGTAGTTCAGTGTTTGAATTCATGCGTCTTCACAAAAAGAATTTTTAACTTTAAAAGTGGCAATACTCAAATATAAGGGGTCAGTAATTGACATGTGAAATTTAAATTATGAATGGATAATTTTTAAAATTTAAATTTTTTGTAAAAGAAAAAATACTGTAACAAACTAATAATCATAATCTTAAATCAAACTAAACTCTCAAAACAAACGGAGCATAAGTTTCTTTTATTCACAATGTTTGAATTCATGCGTTTCACAAAAAGAATTTCTAACTTTAAAAGTGGCAATACTCAAATATAAGAGGTCAGTAATTGACATGTGAAATTTAAATTATGAATGGATGGATAATGAATTTAGACCTTTGACAATTTGCGCCTATATACACTGGGTAGAGGGTGCAAAGACACCAATAATTCTTTTTTACAAGCACACACAAAAAAAAAAGTATATTGGGGGAGTGAAGATGAGTATTCAAAGGCCAAATGGTACAAGGTATAGTGGTATGCGGTGCAGAATATAAGTTAAAAAGCAAATATATAAGAGAGTGTACCTAGGATTCTAGCTGGTTGGTTATCATCTTACGGACAAGATGATGTTTTCCTTCTTAATCAAAAGAGATCATGTTTCTTTTTCTATAGGATGAGAAAAACAAAACTTTATTTTGAGATTAACTCATTTATTTACACTAAAACATGATATCTCTTTTCGGGGAAAAAAAAAAGGATTTAAGATTTTAGTGTTAGGCTTTTCTGCACTAGTTTGGGATGGTTCATTCTTTTTAATTCAAATTCATTACATTTCTTATTACATTTCGTTATGATTATTTGAAGACGTGTGTGAGAAGCAAAGCGAGCTTAGCCCTTACTACCCTATTATGTCTACTAATACATCGTTAATTACCCTATAAGAAACAACCGTAAAATCTTATTACAACCCAAAAACCACTTAAACATTCCTTAGTCGATTCAAAGATGGACTCGACAATGATTTCAGCGAGTAATTTGGTTCACAGATTCAGAATCATTTTTAATTTATGTGTATTTTTTATGAGAGAAAACACTGTAGTGAGTCACAAATCATGATCCGAACCATGACACGAATGAATTTTCATAGTTTGCCCTCTCAAGCTAAGCACGTGTCTCCTCCTATATATATACATATATATTTGAAATTTTCGTTTTGTAATATTATTTTCTAATCTATGGACCAAACCATATACGTTCCCTCATCCATGCACTTCCATATCGAACTAAATAAAAAAAAAAAATCCCATTACGAGTGCCCTCTCTTTTTCCTATCAGTCAAACAAGGAAACGACGAATAGCCATTAATTTTTTTGAAAGTGAACGAATAGCCATTATTCTTATATTATTGATTGAAATTGAATAATGACCCTTTTTTTTTTCAACCCCCCTAATTAATGTTTTATAGATTCTAAACGACGCACTACATGAATCGTGCGAATGAACATGAACGCAGGCGAAATTTTGTTGCCAAAGAATTTATTTTTTGTATGAAAACAAGGAATAATTAGATTCTTTGCTTCTATAAGGCTGCACCAGTATTTCCTTCAGTTCCATCTGCCAGGTAGAATAAACAAGGAGATTTTGGTCCTTTTGACACTCAATCTAGCATGACTAAAAGACAATATTAACCTCTCCGTTTCCACGAAATTACGAAAAGGCACCCATTTTTCAACGTGTCGTGAACCCATTCGTTACAAAGAGATGTGGATTTCACTTTTTCCTCTTTGACAAATTCAAATCCGCCAACTCAAACTGTCAACCACCGGAAAACTCCATAGTTATTGAAAAGCCAAAAAAAAAAAAAAAAAAAACAAAACAAAAAGAAAAAAGAGAAACATAATACAGAGAGATAGAGAGAGAAAGAAAGCAAAGCTACGAATAAAGCCATTTTTCTCTCTCTAGATTCTGGGATCTGAGATTAATGGTCAAACGATTTTAGCTTCAATCAACGATCGTAATAACATCATAATCCTTCGGAATTGGAGGTTTCAATAATCCTGGAGGTTTGTTATTTTTTTATCGTTTATTTATTTATTTTTGTTGCTATTAGATTTGATTCATCAATTCGCGGATTCTCTTTTCTGTAATATGTGTGTTGCGGATGTTTGGATTTTGGAAGTGTAGGAATGTTCTGGAATGTTCTAGTGTTAGTGAAGTGAACCCGGAAGAAGCTTCTTCTTTTATAATCTGATTATAGAGGCATTGAATTTGAGTTGGTGATTGAGACACTGTGAAAGATCTGGATTGTGAATAGTTATTTATTCTCAACTTTCTCTGTCTATTGAGTTTAATTTGTCCATTCTTCATTTATGAGAAGCCAATTTTGAGTTTTCAGGATATTATGTAATCATATATGTGTTGCATATGTATATATTGCATTTTCAAATTTTGGATTGATAGAGTGGCTGCTGTTTAGTGGTGAACTGAGTTATAAGAATTTGAAAAATCCGAAAATTGACTGGAATATCAGGTTCATCATTCATGCTTACTAGATGTGATCATAAACTTACATTTTCAAGTTCTCTTTTGTTTCCAGACCTTCTTTGAATTGACATGTTTTGATAGGAAAAAAAAAATTTATGTGATTTGCATACAAATTGGCCACGAGGATATGTTTGTTCACCATTTTTGTTTCAATAGTTACTTTTAAAACTTTTGATATCACATCCATTATTAAGCACGTTTTAGAAATTGGAATTTTATGCCTTATAGTTTAAATCTAATAAGTCTAATTGCAGTACACTTTGATTTCATTTCCAATTTTAGCCTATTATTTGATAGAAAGCTTTAATTTCTGTGTTAATTTCTCCATGTGCAAAATGAGGGGACAAAATGGTAGCCTTTCTAACTTAAGGATGTGTTATTTCACAATTATTGTAATGCAGACTAAACGAAAAAAAAAAAAAAAAAAAGAATTGTTTGGATGTGTAAGTTTACTATATGTGTGGTGATATTGGACTAAGGATATCCCTGTTTAGTCTATCTTTTCTATTTTAATGCCGCTAACTCTTTTCCCTTTTTCTTTTTCCTCTCCAGCCCATGCAGCTGAAGTGTTTAGAAAGACAACAAATTTTAACAGAAATGTATGACCATTTTCGCTAGCCATATCACCACAAAGAATTGTTTAAGAGACACTAGGATCTGATCGAGATGAAAGTGGTTTACAATTTTTTACCAAGGGCAAGACCACTTTCCCTCACTCTGGCTAGCCTTATTGCTGTTACTATATTACTTTGGGCATTTGAGAGAAATCCTTTTGGCACTATTTTACTATCAACCCAAGAGCGGTACACAACGTCTTCCGCAGGTTTGTTTTCCATTTGCTAAATTTTGCACATGTACAATTTCTTTTCTTTCCTGTTCTGGATATAATGAATGTGGCAAAACTTTTTAACTGATAGTTACAGGTAAAAATTCCTAGAAGGAGCCTTAATGGTATAAAAATGATTAGGAAAACTAGGTGCATCAAAACGTTTTTGTGCTGCATGAACTTTGATAAGTCTGAAACTCTTTGTAATTCAACACTCATCCCTTGCGAAGTCAACTTAGTGGCGACATCTGGAAGCCCTAATTGGGTGTAAATGTTTTCTGATCTTAACCACTTTTTCAGTTTGATAAAATATTGAAAATTAAGGTGTCTGGATGGAATATACAGAAACAAAAAGTGTCAAGATGAAAGAAAGGGAAAGGACAGGGTCTTAGGACTTACTTTTTGGTATCCAATATACGTCAACATATTTATTACATGCTATCTGGAATAGATAATAAAATCTTTCCACATAATACATAATTAGTTTTTGATAAATTGCTAATCTAAAACATTTCAAGACTTAATGAAAATAATGGCTTTGTAAAATGGTTATAAATATGAAAAGAGCTACAATGAGGAAAGGCTGAAAGGTAGGAAAAATTAGTCAAATGCCGAAATAATCAATTGCAGAAAGGATGAGGAAGGGCTGAAAAGTAGGAAAATGAGTTGGAGTAATTATAGAGGTCAAAAGAGCCAAATTGAAATGTGATTTAAGGAAAATGAGAAGTTATGGCCGTGTTTGGAATTGATCCCGTTTTTGTTTTTCACGTTTTTTGAGAAAAAAAAATGAAAACGTTTGCAAAACGGCGTTTGGCGCAATAAAAACAAAAAGAGAAATGAAAACGATTTTTTGGTTTAGTGTAAAATGAGAGAGAGACATTAATGGATTTTTTTTTATACTGAAAATAATCTCTTGATAAAATTATTAAACGCATTTTCACAAATGATTTCTGTTTGGGATTAAAAACGTTTTCATTTTCATTTTCATATAAAAAACAAAATCATTTTGGAACGAGTTCTAAATGCGCTCTGTGTGTCTACCAATGTGATTCAAGGTTCTAAGAGTTTAATAGACCCAATTAATGACATAATGTGGTATAGTGACCATAAGATGGAGATGTATGGCCCACTTATCTGTTTGATGGAACTGTTGATTCATAAACTTCTCATTCATTTCATGCATTACACCAGCTTCAACTTGATTAGTTTGCGACTTTAGTGGATTGAATATTTAAGGTCAAAATTTTTTATTTGGGACATTTTGAAACCTGCTAAATGTGATATCCTGCTGATGAACCTCATCTACCTTCCTGTAGAATTTATTGCAGAACCCACCGACAATTCCTCAAACTCTACGAAGACAAACGATAATATTGATGACAAAGGTTCAAAATGGATTATAATTGAAGAAGTAAATAATGCGGTAGAAAATTCAAGTGTTGCAGTGTTGGGGTCTTCACCCTCATTGTTTTCTGAAAAGCAAAAAAGTGATGGAAATGTGGCATCGTCTTCCACAAATAAAGGTAAGAGTTCCTCCAATTGTATTATCTCATACATAATCTTGTCATCTCATTTATAAGGTTGCTGCCTCTGCAGTTTGTAACTATGCCAAGGGTAGATGGGTAGCAGACAGCAGTCGGCCATTGTATTCTGGGTTCCAATGTAAGCAGTGGCTATCAGAAATGTGGGCATGCAGACTGACACAGCGATTTGATTTCTCTTACGAGGGATATCGATGGCAGCCAGAAAATTGCAATATGCTAAAGTTTAAGAGGTCTTCATTCTTGAGAAGGTAGTCATATTTCCGTGTTTAATCTCTTTTTAGCTAACTACCTGGGAAATATTTTTCAGTTATCTGGAAAAGCTTCCATCCGAATGTACTAGTTTTCCATTTCTTTCTCATTCAATATAGTGGAAAACTCTCCATAGTTCAATGGTGAAGATTTCAGAATGCTGCATGATAGTCTGACAAATTTGTTTCAGCATATTCTGCAAAATGACAAGTGATTGGAAGTGTGTCAGTGATTGTGTCGCTTCCTACTCTCATTTAGTTAGAAGGAAAAATTTCATTTTAGTACCCTGTGTTATATTGAAATATGAGTTTGGTATCTTGTGTTTTTAATAATTTCATGTGGACACCTAAACATTTTTGAAAATATTTTTTTAGTACCGTGAGGCCTTTTTCTGAGACATGAAAGGTCGTTTATATCCTTGTACTTGATTTGTCTAGAATTTTTTTTATAAATATATTATTATATTAACAATATTTGAAAACATAAAATGAAAAAAAAAAACTGAAAGGGAAAGGAATAGAATTTTGAGTTTTTAATTTTATTTTTAAAATATATTTTTTTAGAAATTTATAAAAAAAAACTTTGGATAAATCAAGGGTATAAATGACCTTTCATGTCACAAAAAATGCGTCAAGGTACAAAAAAAAGATTTTCTAAAACTCCGAGATGCCCGTATGAAATTATTAAAAATACAGGATACTAAACTCATATTTCAATATAACACAGGATACAAAAATGAAATTTTCCCTAGTTAGAAATAGTCATATTATACAGCAGTACTATATTTTCACCGACGAGAGTTTGGATTTTACTTATATACCAAGCAAAAAATCCTTTGTTTAACAGTCTTCTAAACGTGACTGAATATTGCAGAATGCAGAACAAAACAATTGCTTTTATAGGAGATTCTTTAGGTCGACAGCAGTTCCAGTCTTTGATGTGCATGGCCACTGGAGGGGAATATAGCCCTGGGGTACTAAATGTGGGAAAGGAATATGGACTCATCAAAGCTCGTGGAGCCATTCGTCCTGATGGTTGGGCTTACCGATTCCCTAAAACCAATACCACCATTCTATATTATTGGTCAGCTAGTCTTTCGGATCTGGTGCCCCTTAATGCCTCTGACCGAGCCTCTGATATCGCCATGCATCTGGACCGTCCACCAGCTTTCTTGAGAAAGTATCTCCATCGTTTCGATGTATTGGTTCTCAACACTGGACATCATTGGAACAGAGGGAAGCTGAAGGCAAACCGGTGGGTGATGCATGTAAATGGAAAGCCTAACGAAGATAGAAAACGTGCAGAAATTGCGAATGCCAAGAATTTTACGATACATAGTATTGTCAAGTGGGTTGATTCACAGCTTCCCTCGCATCCTCATCTCAAAGCCTTCTTTAGGACTATCTCACCAAGGCACTTCCTTAATGGTGATTGGAACACGGGGGGTAGTTGTGATAGCACAACTCCGTTGTCTAGTGGAAGCGAAGTGGTTCAAGACGGTTCGAGGGATTCGGTTGTTGAAGGTGCTTTAAAGGGTACGAAGGTAAAGATTTTAGATATCACTGCCCTGTCTGAACTGAGGGATGAAGGTCACATCTCCCGCTACAGCATTAGAGGAACTCCTGGCGTAAACGACTGTTTGCATTGGTGCCTACCTGGGATTCCCGACTCGTGGAATGAACTACTTATCGCACAACTATAGGGCTCGGACGCATCATCCAGGCAATGCAGATGCTAAAATCTAGAGATGGAAAATGGTAGATATTCTTTTATGGTACAAGGTACCAATTCTTTTCAGAAGTATGATTCTTTATGAAACTTAATTCCAGCTTCTCACTGATCAAATAGAATAGGTAGAGCAGCACCTAGTATTTTTATTTGTGAATTGAATTTTCTATATCAGTTTTTGCATATAGGTGTACAATCTAAAAAAAAGAAAAAAGTTTTCATAAGAATAGAGAAGCATCGATTGCTGCAGCTTTACCCTAAGACCGGAATGTTGCTAGCTGTTCTATAGATGCTGTCTGTCTTGTTGCCAGCTTTACCCCAAGACTCAATTACGAAATTTCTCTCCAGTGCGGATTATGTACCATTGAGAGTGGATCCAAGTTTTGTTTCCATTTTTTTTCTTTAAATAACATTCTAGATTCTCTACAAAAGTATATTTATGTATATCAGGTTCGGATTTCATCCAGAGACGAAAAGTTTCTGGCTTGTATTGCTCGTTGTAATTGTAATTTATTGGTCAAAATTTGTCCTGCTCTTGTACAATTTTAAGATGGCAAGATAGAAGATCTTTATCTATTTTGGAACTGTATCTCCTCAAAAAGCTGTTATTATAATGCCTCAAGAGGAGGAGAAGAATGTAGCCAACAATCTAGTTGGATTTTCCACAGGATCACTTGAGATGTTTTTTGTGTATGTTTTTGGCCAGAGACTCGAACTGATAATATTAGCTTTCTCAACTGGATTTTAGTTAATTATCCAAGGCCTTGGCCTAAATCTTGTAACCTTGATGCCACCATCTCTGGGCATTAGAATCTTTTTTGTGAATTACACAAATACTGATTTTTATGATTGTAAAAATACTCAAATTCAAGAAACTAATTTATGTTGTTTTACTAGAATAATCGTTGATCCATTCCATTCCAAAAAAAAAAAAAAAAAAAAAAAAAAAAAAAAAAAAAAAAAAAAAAAAAAAAAAAAAAAAAAAATCAGATTTTACTCTCATTCTAGTTCTCTTTTCATTCTCGTTACCATTTTATCATAGCAACTTAAAGTGGAGCGAATATGGAAGATGCTGATTGCCAAGGATGGTTTTCCAACAGTATTGCGGGTCTTCCTGCCAAGATCTTAGAATTTTTAGCTCATGGTATTAGAGAATTTTCTACTTGTAGAGTCTAAACTGCTTAGTTTAGTGTTTTACACTATTATACATCAACAAACACAACAGAGTAAATGAACAACAAAAGTACATTTCCGGTGAATGCTGGAAGGTCCATTTTCATCATAGTTTGCCTTGCTTACATGCTTGTGAAAAGAAATAATGAGAGGAACAACAGAAGAATACAAAAGAGATATTAAACAATAGAAGAATACAAAAGAGTAGCCCAGTAAAGGGAAACAAGAATAATTCAACAAACCAAACTACAAATTAAACAGATAACCGGAAGTACCTCTCAGAGGATAAGTCAAAACTCTCTCCTTGAAAGGATGCTACAGATAAGCATCGTTAAAAACCCTTTCGCTAAAAACCCAGTGGGAAAAAAGACTAAAGGGGAAAAAGAGTGCATATCTACTCATGGAGTCGGTTATTTACAAAAAATAGTAGCGGAGATGAAACCATTAACAAAAAAAATCTTTAATAGATGTTGCATAAGAAGCAAACTTGTTTGCTACGTGATTGCCTTTACGATATATGCAAGAAGTCTAATGAGTAATACTCTTTAGGAAGCCAATTTCGCTTGTCCATCGAGCATAGAAGCGCCAATGAACTCTATGGGAGAATCACATTCAAAAATAAAAAATAATAAAATAATAAAATAATAAAAACAATCATCTATAGTTGCTGTAAACGAAGATTGCTTCAAATTTCTTGATTCCTATGGATTTCAAGATGTGTTTATGACCACCATGTTTTTTAATCACTCCAATCAAGTATGTCTTCAACTCAAACCAAAACCCCTATAAACTTGGAAACAAAAGAAAGTTCTAAGAATTTATAAATTATGGCACAAATGATATCACTACTGCTCTAAGGATCATGGTCAAATAACAGCCTTACCAACAACTATGAACAAATATACATAAAAAAAAAATATAATAATAATGTTCTGAGTATCAATAATCATGGGTGAGATCATCATGAGACCAGAACAAAAGAGCTTTTTTACAATTCTTTCTTTATTTTTCAGGAAAGATAAAAATAATATACAGCACCAATTACTTGCAACGTCTTAACCTTTAGTTTCTTTTTTCCTATGAGACCATTTTTTTTTTTTTTTTTTGAGTTCAACACTAATGTATGAAAGAATCTCGAGCAGCATTAGAGCCAAACTTTTTTTTTCTCCTCCATTGGACAAGTGAAATTGCAAATTCAACATTCTTGTTAAAATATTGCTTCAATAGAGTACAAAAGATATGAGAGGAACAATAGAAGAATACAAAAGAGTAGCCCAGGAAACGGAAACAAGAATAATACAACAAATCAAACTACAAATTAAACAGATAACCAGAAGTACCTCTCAGAGGATTAAGTCAAAACTCTCTCTTTGAAAGGATGCTACAGATAAGCCTCGTTAAAAACCTTTAGCCAAAAACCCAGTGGGAAAAAAGACTAAAGGGGAAAAAGAGTGCATATCTACTCATAGAGTCGGTTATTTACAAAAAATAGTAGCGGAGATGAAACTATTAAAAAAAAAAAATCTTTTATAGATGTTGCATAAGAAGCAAACTTGTTCGCTACGTAATTGCCTTTACGATATATGCGAGAAGCCTAATGAGTAATACTCTTTAGGAAGCCAGTTTCAGTTGTCCATCGAGCATAGAAGCGCCAAGGAACCCTATGGTTTTAGAAATCAACAAAATCAATCATCTATTAGGTAGAATCACATTCAATCCAAAATAAAAAAAATAAAAAAAAATAAAAAAAAAGACATCTTAAATAGTAAACGAGGATTGCTTCAAATTTCTTGATTCCCTATGGATTTGAAGATGTGTTTATGATATCCATGTTTTTTAATCACTCCAATCAAGTATGTCTTCAACTCAAACCAAAACCTCTATAAACTTGGAAACAAAAGAAAGTTTTAAGAATTTATAAATTATGGCACAAATGATATCAGACTACTGCTCTAAGGATCATGGTCAAATAACACCCTTAAAAGCAACTATGAACAAATATACATAAAAAAAAAAAAAGATAGTAATAATGTTCTGAGTATCAATCATGGGTGAGATCATCATGAGACCACTACAAAAGAGCTTTTTTACAAATCTTACTTTATTTTTCAGTAAATATTTTTTGCCCCTAAAATTAATATACAGCACCAATTACTTGCAACGTCTTAAGCTTTAGTTTCTTCTATCCTATAAGACCATTTTTTTTAATTTTTTTTATTTTTATTTTATTTTATTTTTTTTTGAGTTCAACACTAATGTATTGAAGAATCTCGAGCAGCATTAGAGCCAAACTTTTTTTTTTCTCCTCCATTGGACAAGTGAAATTCCAAAGTCAACATTCTTGTTAAAATATTGCTTCAATTACCCCCAAGTTCAATAATGTATGCATAAAACAACAATACAAAGTCCTAAAAGCAAAACAAGAAAAAAAAAAACAGAGAATAATTGCAAACGTAAAAAGGAACGTGGCAACAAATTAATTAAAATGCTTACCAAACTCTACTAACGTGGCAACAAATTAATTAAAATGCTTACCAAACTCTACTAACGTGGCAACAAGCAGACTTTGTTGTAACCTCAACAATTAGTTCTAGAAACTCCACCACAACTAGCAAGCCGAAGTTGGATTTCTGAAGGAAGAGAAAAGACTAGAAAGTTAATCTTTTCATATGACAAAGGAAATAAAGGTTGAGGAACTACAAAGCTCAAGACAGGTATATGAGTGATGAAAGTAATTCAGTTTTTAAATACTTTGTCCTCTTGCAAAATCAATAAAACATTTGAAATCTTAAATGGAACTTTTCAATGGCAGGGTATAAGAAGAACTGACCTCATACATGTTGTGGAGCAGGAGAGTTTTTCCTCAGAAGGTAGTCAGCCAATGCGTCCATTGGTATTTCAGTGCAAGGCCTCCAGTTAACAGACTTGAGAGCAGGGAGGCTGCCTATCCCATTGGGAATTGAGGTCAAATTGCTACATCCACTGATTATAAGTTCTCTAAGCGATGAGAGGCTACATATCTCATTAGGAATTGAGGTCAAATTGCTACATCCACTAATTTCAAGACTTGTAAGCGAGGAGAGGCTGCCTATCTCATTAGGAATTGAGGTCAACTTGCTACATCCATAAATGTCAAGACGTGTAAGCGAGGAGAGGCTGCTTATCTCATTAGGAATTGAGGTCAAATTGCTACATTCTTCAATTTCAAGACTTGTAAGCGAGGAGAGGCTGCCTATCTCATTAGGAATTGAGGTCAAATAGCTGCATCCACTAATTTTAAGACTTGTAAGCAAGGAGAGGCTGCCTATCTCATTAGGAATTGAGGTCAAATTGCTACATCCATAAATGTCAAGACGTGTAAGCGAGGAGAGGCTGCTTATCTCATTAGGAATTGAGGGCAAATTGCTAAATTCTTCAATTTCAAGACTTGTAAGCGAGGAGAGGCTGCCTATCTCATTAGGAATTGAGGTCAAATTGCTACATCCACTAATTTCAAGATTTCTAAGCAAGGAGAGGCTGCCTATCTCATTAGGAATTGAGGTCAAATTGCTACATCCATAAATGCCAAGATGTATAAGCGAGGAGAGGCTGCCTATCTCATTAGGAATTGAGGGCAAATTGCTACATCCATAAATGCCAAGATGTATAAGCGAGGAGAGGCTGCCTATCTCATTAGGAATTGAGGGCAAATTGCTACATCCATAAATGCCAAGATGTATAAGCGAGGAGAGGCTGCCTATCTCATTAGGAATTGAGGGCAAATTGCTACATCCATAAATGCCAAGATGTATAAGCGAGGAGAGGCTGCCTATCTCATTAGGAATTGAGGGCAAATTGCTACATCCATAAATGCCAAGATGTATAAGCGAGGAGAGGCTGCCTATCTCATTAGGAATTGAGGTCAAATTGCTACATCCACTAATTTTAAGACTTGTAAGCGAGGAGAGCCTGCCTATCTCATTAGGAATTGAGGTCAAATTGCGACATCTACTAATTTCAAGACTTCTAAGCGAGGAGAGGCTGCCTATCTCATTAGGAATTGAGGTCAAATTGCTACATCCATAAATGCCAAGATGTATAAGCGAGGAGAGGCTGCCTATCTCATTAGGAATTGAGGTCAACTTGCTACATCCATAAATGTCAAGACGTGTAAGCGAGGAGAGGCTGCCTATCTCATTAGGAATTGAGGGCAAATTGCTACATCCATAAATGCCAAGATGTGTAAGCGAGGAGAGGCTGCCTATCTCATTAGGAATTGAGGGCAAATTGCTACATCCATAAATGCCAAGATGTGTAAGCGAGGAGAGGCTGCCTATCTCATTAGGAATTGAGGGCAAATTGCTACATCCATAAATGCCAAGATGTGTAAGCGAGGAGAGGCTGCCTATCTCATTAGGAATTGAGGGCAAATTGCTACATCCATAAATGCCAAGATGTGTAAGCGAGGAGAGGCTGCCTATCTCATTAGGAATTGAGGGCAAATTGCTACATCCATAAATGCCAAGATGTGTAAGCGAGGAGAGGCTGCCTATCTCATTAGGAATTGAGGGCAAATTGCTACATCCATAAATGCCAAGATGTGTAAGCGAGGAGAGGCTGCCTATCTCATTAGGAATTGAGGGCAAATTGCTACATCCATAAATGCCAAGATGTGTAAGCGAGGAGAGGCTGCCTATCTCATTAGGAATTGAGGGCAAATTGCTACATCCATAAATGCCAAGATGTGTAAGCGAGGAGAGGCTGCCTATCTCATTAGGAATTGAGGGCAAATTGCTACATCCATAAATGCCAAGATGTGTAAGCGAGGAGAGGCTGCCTATCTCATTAGGAATTGAGGGCAAATTGCTACATCCATAAATGCCAAGATGTGTAAGCGAGGAGAGGCTGCCTATCTCATTAGGAATTGAGGGCAAATTGCTACATCCATAAATGCCAAGATGTGTAAGCGAGGAGAGGCTGCCTATCTCATTAGGAATTGAGGGCAAATTGCTACATCCATAAATGCCAAGATGTGTAAGCGAGGAGAGGCTGCCTATCTCATTAGGAATTGAGGGCAAATTGCTACATCCATAAATGCCAAGATGTGTAAGCGAGGAGAGGCTGCCTATCTCATTAGGAATTGAGGTCAAATTGCTACATCCTTCAATTGTAAGATCTCTAAGCGAGGAGAGGCTGCCTATCTCTTTAGGAATTGAGGTCAAATTGCTACATCCGCTAATTATAAGATCTCTAAGCGATGAGAGGCTGCCTATCTCTTTAGGAATTGAGGTCAAATTGCTACATCCGCTAATTATAAGATCTCTAAGCGATGAGAGGCTGCCTATCTCTTTAGGAATTGAGGTCAAATTCCTACATCCGCTAATTATAAGATCTCTAAGCGATGAGAGGCTGCCTATCTCTTTAGGAATTGAGGTCAAATTGCTACATCCTCCAATTACAAGACTTGTAAGCGAGGAGAGGCTGCCTATCTCATTAGGAATTGAGGTCAAATTGCTACATCCACTAATTTCAAGATGTGTAAGCGAGGAGAGGCTGCCTATCTCATTAGGAATTGATTTCAAATTGCTACATCCTTCAATTGTAAGATCTCTAAGCGAGGAGAGGCTGGCCATCTCATTAGGAATTGAGGTCAAATCGCTACATCCACTAATTTCAAGATGTATAAGCGAGGAGAGGCTGGCCATCTCATTAGGAATTGAGGTCAAATCGCTACATCCACTAATTTCAAGATGTATAAGCGAGGAGAGGCTGGCCATCTCATTAGGAATTGAGGTCAAATTGCTACATCTGCTAATTTCAAAACTTGTAAGCGAGGAGAGGCTGCCAATCCCATTGGGAATTAGGGTTAACTTTGAACATGATTCAATTTCAAGATACTGTAGCAATGCGAGGTTGTGTATTTGCGCCTCTGACAGTAGAGATTCCAAATCGTTAACATAGTTAATAGATAAATGCTTCAATTTAGAGAGAGCGGAAGGGGAAGAGGAAGGGATGGAGGAGGAAGATGCTGAAAATGTTTCTTCAACACTATCATATACTTTCAATTTCATCCTACTAATCCTTTCCAGAGGCTTAGAGCTTGTCTCATATAGACTCAGCTTTTCAAGATTCGGAAACGGGGGCATGGAATTTAGAAGAGGGCAATAGCTTATTTCTACTATTGAAAGCTTAGGAAAAGAAAGTTGTTGGTGTGGTGTTAGTGCTTCACAAAAATCCTCTGTTTCTCCCCTCCACCATCCCTGCAGATTACCACATCTAAGGAGATTGAGTTTCACCAAGGATGGGAATAAGGGCTCGGGTTGGTCACCTCTGCTCCAATCATGATTGTCCTTTTCTGAAACGTACTCTAGAGCTGACAAAGCATCTAATCTAAGTTCCTTAAGGGAGGATAAATGGTGTAGTGGTGGAAGATATTTGCAGTTTCGACAATTAAATAGTTCCAATCGAACAAGATCAGTGAGCGAAGAAAACCAATTAACTGGAAATGTCTCACCCGGATAGCCATGCACTTTTATGGCTTTTATATTTTGAGGTGGCTCTAAGCGACCAAATGTTTCTTCAGCATTCCCCATCGATTCTTTTACTACCCAATCCAGCTTTAAGGACTCAAGATGTTCCTTGTCCGTTAAGCATTTAGCAGCCTTTGATTCACCAAGTCCCCGTATCTCAATGGTTAAACCTCCATGCAAGTTGTTAAGCTTGCTCAGTTCATCAAATCCAGCAGCACTTTCACTTGATTTGTTGTTTGCCACTATAAATGTATCTAATGATTGAAGTGACGACAATTCACCAATTCCACGAGGCATATGAGTCAACTTTTCACAACCAAAAATCTCAAGACGCCTCAAATTGATAAGATTTTGTAAATTTGCAGGCAAACTTACAAGACTTTTACATTGACAGAGTATTAGTGTTTGCAAATAATACAGCTCTGTTATGGAACTTGGAAGCTCCACAATTCTACTGAATGAAAGATCAAGAAACCTAAGATGATCTAGTTTACCGAAGCTCTTTGGCAAAGTCTTTATACCATGGAGACTCAATGCCCGTAGGAGCGTAAAGTTTGACACAACATCATCACGACATGATGAACTCAAACTTTCTGCATCGCGTAAAATAAATGTGCGCATTTTTTTTTGTTCAAACAACAGTTTTGGAATTTGGCATGAACTATTATTATCTGCAAAACCTAGAGATATATGACAAACTTTTTCAAAAGCATTTTCTACTAACTCCATATTACTAGTATTGACATCAAATATTTGTATGCTCTTACCAGCCACTAGACTTGCAAGATCATGCATGAGATCGTGCATTTTACAATACTTTATGGTTGTTGGCGACAACTCACCTGTTTCAGCTTCTTGGAAAAAGCAACCCCAAAATAAAATCATGAAATACTCATAACCAATATCTTCTAGTTGCCTAGTACTATCAGATATAATAAATCCCTGGGCTATCCAAATTTCTATTAGTTCTTGTACGTTGATCCTATAATCCTTTGGAAATAAGCTACAGTAAGCAAAACAATGCTTCAAGTGTGATGGGAGACTATTGTAACTCAGCTTAAGTGTAGGCACAATATCACTATCATTTTGAAAAGCTACTTTTGCAAGTTCATTGTCCCTAAAACGAACCCACTCTTTTTCAGCATTTTGCGAGGAATGTATCTTTGATTCCAAAAGTCTCCCTATTGTCTTTATCGCAAGAGGAACTCCTTTACACTTATCCACAATATCCCTTCCCACTTCTACAAGGCCGTGGTACTGAGAATTACTCTTATTTATTCCCCTAAATGCTACTCTCTCAAATAACGCCCGAGACTTGTCTTTGTCCAAACCACTTAACATGTATGTTTTAGTCGAATGAACAATTTCTGCAACTCTTATGCTCCTAGTAGTTATTAAAACTTTGCTGCCCTGTGCACCTAGCTTTAAGAATGTTTCTAACTTTTCCCATAGATCACTATTCTCATTCCAGACATCATCTAATACTAGAAGGTATCTCTTACCTTCTATTTCTTTCCTAACCTCAGTTTGCAATTGCTCTAAATTAAGGGTTTCTAGATTTGGGCGTTTTTCAGTTGCAGATCTAAGAATTTTTTCTAACAGTGATCTCAAATCAAAAGAATCAGAAACACACACCCAGTACATTTGTTTCTCAAAACGGTTTTTGACTAACTCATCATTGAACACAAACTGAGCTAGTGTGGTTTTTCCTAATCCTCCAAAGCCTACTAAGGAAACGATGGATACACTTTCTTTAGTCTCAATGTTGTTGTCTAATAAAAAATCTAGTATCTCTTTTTTATCATTCTCTCTCCCAATAACTTCATCATCAATTACTAATGAGTGAGTCTCCCTCCAACTCATTGTAGAGGAGACAGTCCTTGTCTCTCCATGTTCGCACTTATCTAATTGAGAAAATACCTGATTGGCTTTAATTTCATCTAATGTCTCTCTAATTTGTTTAATTTTGTTAGTCATTTTCACTCTAAAAGCAAGTTGGTTTGATCTCGAGAAGAAAATGCGTACCTTCTTCGCCCTTTTCTTACCGAAAAGAACTTTGCGGCGTAGTTGTTGGTAACGAAACTCGTCAACCAAGTTATCAGCATCGTAGATAACATCTTCGAGACTTTCAAGCCACACTTTGACTTGGTTGTTGGTATCTTTCTTCTCCTCTGCATCAAGAAGCACAGCTTTGATCATGGTAATGGTGGCCTCAAGTTTTCGGAGCTCTTTCATAAACCAGAAGGGCAGCCTGATATATTTGAAAGGTTCGGAAGCCACGTTTGCAACGAATCCTGCAAGAATGTTGAGAAGTACTCCTTCGGCCATTAGTAATAATAGTTGTAAATATGAAATGAAGGTGTAAAGAAAACAGAAAGCCCAAACAACAGAATAAATTAGAACAACAGAGTGCTTTAGAGAACGGAGAAAAGGAAAGAGATGGGGTTTGATGGTTGCCGTGTGTGGAGGAAAGAGGGAGAAAGCAGTCAGTGAGAAGTGAATTGAGAGATGTGTTATTCCCACTTATTTGTAATGACGAAAATTAATTCATAAAAGTTATAATCAAAACTATCCGTTACAACAAATTCATGTAATCATGCATGTCGGCCAGCAAAGTAAAAAGTAAAAACATTATTTTAAGGTTATTGACGTTGCTCTGTCGGCCAGCAATATGGCTTTTGGAACTTTTTTTTAAATTAGTTGTTGATTGTTGATATGAAAGCCGTGAAGGAAAGAGAAAGCACACGCGGACAAATTAGAACAGAATGTTTTACAGCAACATATTATTTGTTTTTTCGTTTTCGCCATTATCTTCTTTATTACCCGTTACTAGCCGTTGGCTTCTTCAGTTTTTTATTTTTATTTTTATTTTTTATTTTATATATATATATATTTTTGGAAGGGAGTAGCAGTTGGCATCTCCTCCTACTTTAATTAATTTAAGGATTCGTTTGTTTAATGTGTTTAAATTTATAATTTTAATTTTATTACAGTGTGTTTTTTTTTTTTATAAAAAATTTAAAATTTAAATATTAAAATTAAAAATTATTAATTTAAACGCATAAATTAAACGGGCTTTAATTATCTGAAGCATCACCTAAGTTTTACAAAAGACTATTAATTAATTAATTTTACCTAGTACTACCCACTCGCTTAGTGCAATTAATCAAAGCTCTAAAGCATTAAAATTTAATCAACACTTTTTACCGTAGGTTTCAGTACTACACACTCTTATTTTTTTATTTTTTTTTATTTTTGGTGAGTAAGGCCTCCAATCCGATGAAGAACTTTATTACGAGCTGAAAACAGCCAAGTTAAAACCAAAAGTCCAAGCACTAAGAATTGGGCATACAAGCAGACTCAAAGAATCTATCTGAGAGTCCGTGCACCAATCGATTGAGCTATATGAAACCTAACCCTCAACGGAACTAAACTCCTATAAGAACGGTCATGGAACATCCCACCTTGACCAAATCCCAACTCAAGACACCACCACCAGAATGAGTCGCGAGCTTAGACTAATTATTAAGATAAAATGACAAGTAATTGCCCATCTTTGTGTGTGTAGTTATTTTTTTCCTTTTTGAATCTACTTTGTCGGTTGTTTTTGGATTCTTTAATTGCCCACCTATTTTCCTTAATTCATTGCCAACCACAGAATTTTTTCCCACAAGGGTCTTTTGTAGTTTCGGTGGGAAAAGGTCAATCAAACAGATTTTATCAAAAAAAAAAAAAAAAAAAGGGTTAATCAAACAGAATATCAACAAAATAGTAATTCAAGAGCTCAATTTGAATCGATAAATATTTTAGTTGGCTACGCAAGGCCTTGGCCTAGATCTTCCAGATTGGGAATTGCAACTTTAATCTCACGGCAAAAAGATTTAAAAAAAAAAAAAATTGCAACTTTAATGCTATGATCTTGGAGCAAATATGGAAGATGCTAAAGACTATTCTTCAACGGTCTTGTGGCTCTTCCTGCCAAGGTCTTGGAATTTTTAGCTCAAAGTGTTGGAGAATTTTCTACATGTAGAGTCTGACCAACACGATGCTTTGCACTACTATAAACTGAACCACAGTACAACAAACCTACAGATATCCAAGGGCTTGTACAGCAAAATACAGCATCAGAAACATTTCCGATGAACGACAGAAGGTCCATTTTCGTCATAGTCTGCCTTCGTTACGTGCTGATTCTGGGGGAACACAACTTTGGCAAGTATGGCACCTCCCACCCACGCTGAGTACATTGTCAAGTTCTCGGGCATGTATTCCGGAGGCTGTGATGAATAAAAAATTCTCTCACCAATTTAAGCAGAAGAATTTCAACTTTCTCCAAATAAAAATCCCAACAATATTGATACTAGGATTTCACCAGTTTGACGTACAGAAAATATGAAATTGTTTGATTTGGAAATAAAAAGAAAATGGACGTTCAGTACTAGAAAAAAAAATCCAAATTAAATTATTGATTAAAGGACTTGTGATTATTCTGTATGCGTGGATGGAAAAGGGAATGATGATGCAGAGATGCAAAGGTACTAAACAGACAGAAATATTTGCAGATCTATCAAACCAGAGATGGATTGAAATGTCGCTTTAGGAATCATGCCGTCATACATGATCTCAAAGAGAACAAAGGCGAACTACACATATTCTTATGTGGATCCATCTTTTGCGATAAAATAAAATACCTTGACCAGAGCAGGACGAATAGCAGATGAGCAGAGACCAGCTTCTTTCTGAAACCCTTCTTCAAAACCTGCACAAAACAGCGAGTAAGTGGCTGACTACAAGACAATTTCTGTAAAACAAGAGACCCAACTAATGCAGTTCACGGAAAAGCATCGGTGGCCTCTCCAGCTAGTAAAATTTACATTAACTACTGTTCCACAGAATTTTGCCATCCGAACACAAAATAACACCTTGATAGTTGATACTTAATCAATAATACTTGTTATCATTTGTTGACTATTTTTTACTATCATGGACGTGTCTTATTCATTCAGACACCCCTCCGATTTACTTTTTCTCATGCCAAACCTCAAGCCAACATATAGATCAAACCGAGCAATTTGAGTGAACTTTATTTAGATATGATAATCCCCCTAGTATACAATGATAATAATGATAACTGATACTATCTAGCCTATGGTGAGCCATCCAGCTTTTCAGTTGGTGTACAAATAACTAGATCATCAGAAAGCCGGCAACCACCACGGATTAGTCCTCTTTTTTATTTTTCTTTTTTCTTTTTTGTTTGTTTTTTTTTTTTTTGGGGGGGGTTCTTTTTCTCTTTTTTTGTTCTTTTTGTTTTAATGCTGTTCTGAACGTAAGTAATTACCCTCTTAATTATATGACGGGAAAGTAAATAAAATTACAAAAAAGGGTAAATCCTAGAGCCACCACGTGATCAACCACCATAAACTCACCAGTCATGGATGCAGTGCCACCACATAATACCGTGTTTTCTAGTAACTGCCGGCGATTATCAGATGATACTGCTGAGATACTACGAACAAGCTGCATAACAATTCCATGTGCCTCTAAACCCAATATAGATGGTTGGAATAAAGCCTCACCGACAGTATATCTTCCTCTTCCAATTGTAATTACCTGAAATTATAGTGGAAACAACTTATATTTTGATACCTAATGGCTAATAAAATGTCGTAAATTAGGAAGGTTGCTATCAAGCAAAGATTTCTCGGAAAGAGGTGAGAAGGAAAATGGTAAACGGGAAGATGTTACAATTAAGGTTAGGTAAACATTTAGTTTGAACATCGTGAAACATGGACCTGTCCATCAGGAAGAGTATGTTTTTCTGTCTGACATGAACTTTCAAGCTTCCCATAAGCAAGCACAACATGAATATCGCTCCTTTATTTTTTCAACATCAGACATGCTGATATTAACAAATGGATTAGATTTTCCAAGTTCCTGAGCTCCTATTTCAAACCTTCTGGAAGCAATGTGATGAACCGCACCTTCAATTACTGGTGCAATATCTAGAGGGAAAAAAAAAATAAATAAATAAATAAAAAAACAGAAAGGAGAATGAGATGGTATGGGTTAGAATTTCATCATTTTTTAAAGCCTCCATTACATTTGAAAAGGACCATATATATTGTCACATGATCACTATATTGCAATCGTGGAAACTGAAAGTGGAACCTCTGAAATAAATAGTTTTCCTATAATTACTAGAAATTATGACTACCGAACAGATTTGACTTTGTAATATAGGAATATATGAACACAACCAGGGAAACAAGAGTTCTGAAAGGCAAAATATAGGAATTGCAGTTGATACTTGCATCACAATCTGCCAGCATATAGATCTTTGAATGATGTACAACTTAGAATGAAACAAGACAAGCATATTCATCTTGACTTGGTGCTACTGGAGAATACCTAACTTCACCGTATGGTAAAAAGAGCGTATGGAGCTCTTATGACAACATTGTAAGAAGTAGAAAGTTCATCACCAATGAATGTTAAACATATCAAAAGTCAGAGAAATCAAGGACTGAAGGACACTATGGCTGGACTGTGGAAGGTAGAAACCTTGCTTCTCAGTAACATTTTATTAGTAAGCTTATAAGCTTTTCTATTGGCATTTTTAACTTATTTTCAGTCTTTCACTCACACTGATCTTACCATCTTTTGCAGTTTTGACATTTTTCCTATTTCGAAATCATTTATCAATGTTTCAAATCAATGTATTCAAATGTTGGATTAATATACAAATGCTCCAAGACCCAGGATTACACAAACCGCCTGAACATACGCAGGACCAGTTAGCAGTAGAACAGCTGGTATGACCCATTTCACTTAAACCCGTTCACACACACAGAAGAAGAAGAAGAAGAAGAAGAAACAACAACGAGAAAAAAAAAAAAAAAAAAAAAAAAAAAAAAAAAAAACATAACTCTAAAGACAGTAAAGCCAATAAACATGGGAACATAAAGTGTCAATGATAGGTCCTCCAT